CAAGAGGACTCCAAGAGGCCCCGAAGAGGTTCCAAAGAGGCTCCAAGTTGGCTCCAAGAGGCCCCCAAGATGGCCCCAGGAGGCGTCCAAGCGGCTCCAAGAGTCCTCCGGGAGGATCCAATAAGCCCCCAAGAGGCCCCAACATGCTTTCAAGAAGCCCCCCAAAGCCTCACAAGAGGACCCCATGCGGCGCCAGGAGGCTTCCCCCCTTCCCCAAGAGGACCCCCCGCGGCCCCAGGAGGCTTCCCCCCTTCCTCTCACGCTCATATCCGTAGCCATCTCGGATCAAGGTATCGCCTGTGTTCTTGGATCATGGCTTTGACGGCGAAAGACCTTCACGAGCAGTATGGCGCAGAGCTGTCCCGGCCTCCCTTGGCCGACTGCGAGAGTGCGTATGATTTGCATCAGGCGCTCGCGGCAAAGGGTATCAATGCCAGTCACCAGGCGTGCAAGACTTGGTGGGCCAAGTATCGGGTTGTGACTGGCAAGGTCAGTATTTCTAGCGCCAAGGAGCTGGAGGAGCAGCACGGGTCTGCCATCCGCCATCCGGGTCCTCTGTACTATGTATGTCATACGCAACAAATGCACCATGCGGGGCACATGCGGGGCCCAAACAAGTGATCAACCTCTGCGGGTGTGTACTCCACGCCAGTGTAGTATCCACGATCGTCCGCGCGCCACGAAGTGAAGTGTCCTGACGTCATAGGGCGGGAAGCTGGGTGTGGGTGGTTCCCGAGAGTCGTGTGGATGTTTGGTAGAGCTTGCATTGCCCCCCACGAAGTGGGGGTATTGGCTGGCGTCGCATGAAAACCCTGGCACTGGGGAGAACACTGAGCGTTCGGGTAAAATGATTGTTGTTGTTGTTGTTGTTGGGACTCTTCGGGTGACACGCGCTCTGCGTCTGAGTGATTTTGCCTCGGGGGCGACAATGGGGGCGAACAGCCCAGGGCAAGCGATACATGTATCCAAGGGCGCCGATCGTCCATGCCTTCGGCGAGGCTCCCGAGCCAATGCGTGCAGTGCTCGCCCCTGGGCTCTTCGCCCCTATCGTCGCCTCTGGTTGCCACTAAATCCAGGCCGCTCAACCAAGCGCTGCGCCTGTGGAGCGTTGGACGGTGCAGGCGGGACAGGTCAGCTCTGCCGACGACCAGCACGTCACAGCGTGGCTCCCGTGAGAGCGGGCGCCCGCCCTCCGCCCGCGGCTGGGCTCTCGTGGGGGACGCCGGAGGCCCTCCCCACGGGAGCCGCGGCCGGCGGCTCGAGTGGCCACGGAGGTTGGGCGTTGCTTCGTGGGGGGTTCCTGGGGGGGGTGGCGAGGGTGGTCCGAAGAGGTACCCAAACGGTACCTAAACAAGCTCCTCTGGGGCTCCGGAAGGGCCCGAAAGGGGCACGAAAGGGGCCGTATTTGACACCCCCATGTTGGACCCCCCCCATTCACGACACGCCCAAGGAGGCCATGGCTCGGCATGAGGGAACGCGGGGTTCAAGGGGCACTTCCCAGGGTCTGGGAGATCGAGTGGCCACGGTGGCCATGGTTCGTGGAGGGAAGGAGCTCACGGGGCCCGCCCAGGGCTTCGGGGCCACAGGGAAGGTTCCAGGACGAAGTGCCAGCCTCGTGGAGAGCTTTGGGCCCAGGAAGGGCTCGTTTCCACCAGGGCCGCGTTCTTCCTTGCCAGATGATGATGCATCGCGGGACATTTTCGGGGCCATTTGGGTGCCTTGTTGGGCCGCGATTTTCTGCAGATCCCTTCGGTCGAGCTGTCGTCTGCCCACAGGGCGCCACCTTGTGCGACCCTAGTCTGTCGTGGACCCACGGTGCCCATCTAGTTATGGAGCCGTGCACGGGAGGGTGGAGCTCATCGGAGGACTTCGGGCTTTTCAGATGGGGTTCCGTGGAGAGCGTCAGAGGTGCTGCTGGCCTAGCGCAGCCTCCGAAACAAACATGGAATCCACAATGGTTGAAACACTTCAACCTTCTGTGAAACTCAGGCGACACACTGCAGATGTGTGCGGGGGTGCCATGGAGAATTACGAGTTGGGGCGTCCAGGTCCTTCAGAAGCCTGCGCTCGTCGTATCATTCCTTCGTGTACGGACCTTAGGGCACCCCGCTACGCGGTCAAGGCACAGTACCATCTCTTCAGGCCCACCGATTCGTGCTCGTGCGTGCCTGGGCTCAGCCGCAACCTCCTCTTTTGCTCTCGCTCTCTCCACTTCTCCCTTTCTCCCTCCTTCCCTACTCCTCCTCCTCCTCCTCCTCCTCCCCCTCCTCTCTCTCCTCCCTCCTCCTCCTCCCTCCTCCCCTCCTCCCTCCTCCTCTCTCCTCCTCCTCCCTCATACTCCTCCTCTCCTCTCCCCTCACCTCCTACTCCTCCTCCTACTCCTCCTACTCCTCTCTCCTCCCCCCCCCTTCTCCCCCTCTTCTCCTCCTCCTCTCCTCGTCCTCCTCCATTTCTCCTCATAAGCAATTTCTCCATGTCGCACCCCGAGGTTAGTTTTTAGGGCGGGCCGGGCGTGGCGCCAGATACTTCCTCACCATCTATGATCCTGAAGCTTAAAGCCTTGCAAGAGTTTCACGGATTAAGGGCGGGTCGTTTCAAAATGTTGTTCTCGCCTTAGCGCCGCGCGCATCCGTTTTAAAACATTGCAAGAATTTCACGGATTGAGGGCGGGCCGTTTTCAAAATGTGGCTCTCGTCTTAGCGCCGCGCGCATTCGCTGTACAATTTTGCGAACTTCACGCGTTGAGGGCGGGCCGTTTTCAACATGTGGCTCTCGCCTTAGCGCCGCGCATATTCTTTTTCAACCTTGGCACGAGCTTCATGGATTGAGGGCGGGTCGTTTTCAACATGTGGCTCTCGCCTTAGCGCTGCGCATGAGACATTGCATGAGTTTCACGGATCGCTTTTTTGGTCCTTCTCAAATTTGCAATAGTTTCGCGGATTCCCATGACCAGCCTAGCAGGAATGGTGTTCTGTAGGATTCAGGAACATGAGTGTGCAACAATTGCGTCGATTTGCGTTGCTGCAGTCCCAGGAATGACGTTCTGGCACCATTCATGACCGTCAATACGCAGGAGTCAGGTTGATCCGTGGCGTTGGAATCCCAAGAACAATGTTTTGGCATGCTTCAAGGTCTTCAAACTGTTGTCTTCCATCGGGGCAGTTCCCTCAGTGGACATGAACAGTTGTAGGGGTCTGTGAAGAGGGAGTTTGGAAGGGGGGGCTTATTCCGAGATCATTGCTGACTCTTGGGTTTACATTGGTCCTCCTCCTCGTCCTCCTTCTCCCCCTCTTCCTTCTCATCCTCCTCTTCTCTCCCTCTTCCATTTCCCTCCGTCCTCCCTCTCCCCTCCTCCTTTCCCTATCCTCTCTCCTCGCCTTTCCCTCCTCCTCAGTCCCTCCCTCCCTCCCTCCCTCCTTCCCCCTTCCATTTCGTCGAGGGCTCGGCGTGTGGGGCTGTCACGTCGCTGGGGCGCGGCGCGTCCTACTTAGTCCGCTGCGCCCCGCTGTGCTGGAGACGGCGAACGCCCCCGTGTTTAAGTCGACCAGTCTGCTTTCGGCAAGCTTCCCAGGGGCCGTGCGGTGCGCCTTCCCCCGCCCCGAGTGTACGGGTGGCACCCCGACGGATCTGCTGTCGAGATCGTGTGGTTTCGTTCTTCCCCCCTCTCCTCCCTCCCCTTCCCCCTCCCCCTCCCCTACCCCTCCCCTCCCCTCCCTCCCTCCCCTCCCCTCACCTCCCCTCCCCCCCCTCCCCCTCACTCTTCCTCCCCTTCTTCCCCTCCCCTCCCTCCTCCCTCCCCGTTCTTCCCCTCCCTCCCCTCCATCCCTCCTTTTCTCCCCTACCCTTCCCCATCCCTTCCCTCCGTCCACTCCCTCCTCCCTCCTTCACTTCCCTTCTCCTCACTCTCCCTCCTCGCTCTCCCTCCTCCCTCCTCCCCCCCGTCCCCCTCCCGTTCCCTCCTCCCTCCTCCCTCCTCCCATTCCCAGACGCACTGCCGATGGACACCTCTTCCTTTCTTTCCTCTTGTTTTACCTCTCCTCTATCTCCCCTGGTCGAGAAGCGCTCTCTGCAATTTCACACCTCCCCTCGGATGTCTCCGAGAGGTTGCGGCGTCCCCCAGGACCTGGCTTGTGCACGGCCCCGCCTCCTCAGGCTCCCATGCGCCAGGTCCTCTTCGCGATTTGGCCCACGCAGCTCTTTTTTCCACAGTCGACCGACTGCCTAACTAGGAAACTGGGACGGCAGGCCTCGACTCCCAAGGAGGCGCAAATTCGGAACAGCCTTCTTCTGTTGCATTGTCTTGTCGGTCTTGGGGCCTGGTTGTGCCCCGTCCACTTGCTCCTTTCTCTACTGTGCTGAACCTCTCGTTGTCCTCCCCGCTCTCTGCTCAGCAGGGCCACGCGGCCTCCTTTTAACTGCCTAGACAGGCACCTCTTGACGTACCCTCGCTGCATAAGGGGATAGGTCTGACCGCACCAGTCAGTCGCCTGTTGTCAAGAGGGTAGTCCCATTGTGACCTCTGTGTGTTGGCGAGTGCACGTCCCGGCGTTAGCTGCTTTCTACGGTTTCTGGCGATTGTCCTGTGTCGCCTTGGCCCCCTTTCTCCCTCTCGTTCCTCTATAACACTCCCTTCACCTCTCGCCTTCTTGCGTCAGCCGCCGCATGCTGGAGGATCTTTCGTATTGGCCTCCGCATGCGAGGACGCACACGTGCAGCCTTGTCCTTGTAGCCAGAGGTGCGTGGCACCCCATCCGCGCTTCCTTCTTAGCGCAATGACGGCATACATTCGTTGTAACGCCAGCTGACTTCAAAACCAAGTCCTCCCTGCTCCCTCTTCCTCCCTCCTCCCTCCTCCCTCCTCCCTCCTCTCTCTCTCTCTCTTTCTCTCCCCTCCCTCCTCCCTCCCTCCGGCCCTCGTCTCCCCCCCCTCCCTCCCTCCCTCCCCCCTCTCCCTCCTCCCTCCCTCCCTCCCTCCCTCCCTCCTCTTTGTCCTGCGCCAGGGCGCCTCGTCCGAGGCCATGAGGTTCGAGCCCGGGCAGCGGCTGCAGTTCCGAGAGAAAGGCCCTCGGGTCCTCCTCTCTCTGCCGCTTCCTCCCCTCGGGGGCCCCCGAACGGTGCGGTGGCCACACCGTGTGGTGAGCGAGCGGGGCTTCGGTGTGGCCGCACGGTCGCGAGAGCGTTTTTGTTGCACCCTCTGGGCCATAATGCGCGTAGTGCCCCCCCCCTTCCCCCCCCCCCACATCCAAGAACGTAACGCTCCCCCCACCTCCAAGTGCGTCCCTGGCACTGCCGCAGTGCGTTCGACACCACAGTCTGTGGTGCTTGACCCACGCGGCGGGGGGGGGGCGTCGCATGATGCCCCCCCGGCAAAGCCCGTCATCGCCGCGAGTGGAAAGATATTCTCGTTTGGGGTTTTTGGTTGCTCTCAGAGCGTGAATTACCTACCCCGCTTTCGCTTCCAGGCAAAACCAAGCCATACCACGCGCCTCCTCGTCAAGCGGCCTGACCAGTACAGGCCGTAGTTTGGCACCGCTTGGTATCTCTTGGAAGCGAGGGTGGTCAAAAGCGAGGTAGGTTTGTTTGCCCCCTAGGAAAGATATTCTCGTTTGGGGTTTTTGGTTGCTCTCCGAGAGGATGTCTCGGGCGACTGGGGCCTCAGAGGTCCCAGAAGTGTGCGGTGGCGGATCGCGCGGCGAGGTCTTCGGGGACTCCGAGGCCGCCGCGCGGTCCGTCGCCACACCGCTTTGGTGCCCCTAGTCCTCCTCCTCCTCCTCCTCCTCCTCCTCGTCCTCGTCCTCGTCCTCGTCCTCTTCTTCCTCCTCCTCGTCCTCGTCCTCGTCCTCTTCTGGTCAGTATGTGCGGTCGACCTCCGCAGGCGAGAGCTTGGCCTCCATCTGTGCCTTCCTGCGACCTTGAGGTTTTCCTCCAGCTGTTCTCGGGAGTGTCGCCGTAGGGCGGGGGCCACGCGCATTGCCAGAGGGACGCAGTGTCAGGCCATCCTGGAGAATAGCGCGACACCATACTGCGCCACACACCCCAGCCTGTCTTGTGCAGATGCAGGATGACAAGCCTTGGTTGCCTCTTGAGCAGCGCGGGGGTAAAAAGCGCAAGAGGCAACATTGTGATCGTTTTCTTATTGAATAGCGCGACACCATACTGCGCCACACACCCCAGCCTGTCTTGTGCAGATGCAGGATGACAAGCCTTGGTTGCCTCTTGAGCAGCGCGGGGGTAAAAAGCGCAAGAGGCAACATTGTGATCGTTTTCTTATTCATTGTTTTGCCGATCGGCGCGGGCCCTCGTACCCCCCACTCCCCCCCCTATGGAGTAGATCTTGGCTGTTTTTGGCGCCTGTGTCGAGCAGGTGGGGTCTCCCCCATGAGACGCACTGTTGCAAACAGTCGCATTAAGCAGACGTCCGGAGCCAGACCCCCTCCTCCCCCCGTCCCTTCCGCCCCATGTCGAAACGCCGAATAAGAAAACGTTCACATTGTGCAAAGCTGATCTACCATGCTCGTGAAGCTGGGCATGGGCCATCCAATACGCTTTAGGCTCAGCCGGAGAGCGACAGCGGGTGCATCCATTTCTTGGATGTGTATCTTGTCTGAGTCGGCATCACCGTGCATAGGGAGCGCGCCGCCTCGGAGTCGCAGCTCCCGTAAATGGCGACGTGCATGAGGGTCGGTGGCGAGCGAGGAAAGTGAGAAGGAGAAGGCCCTCTCAGAAGGCGGCGTGAATTCTCAGAAACCATCGCGCCTTCTGAGAAGTTTTCTGTGTCTTCGGGAAAGGTTTCTGAAACTTCTCAGAAGGCCAGGGAGCTTCAGAGCCCTCCGAGAAGGCCCTCTCCTCACTTACCCCCCTCGCTCGCCGCCGAGAGGAGCTGGATCTGAGAGCTGCCAGCAAACTATTACATGGGCATGCGTGTTTGACGCTTCGGCATCGGCGGTGGCGATGCGTACTGGCATGGGCAGTCGATAACAGTGCCTTTCGCCAGCGCTGCAAGTGCACATGGTCATGAGGCGTTTTTTTTCCCATTGGCAGCGCCGTGACAGATTGTTGGTCCTGGCTTGGCTCGGTTATTCATTCGTGCTTTGGAGGGATGCAGTATATCTGGTGGCGGCAGCAGCACCCGGGTGGTAGCAGCAGCAGCAGCAGCAGCAGCAGCAGCAGCAGCAGCAGCAGTCGGCCAAAAGCAGCCCAGTCCGTCTCCGCCCGCAAAGGCTGCCAGAGGACCACCCCTGGGCAACGGAACGGGGCTGCCACCAGGTCTCCGTCCGCAGACCCGGTGGCAGCAGCAGCAGCAGCAGCAGCAGCAGCAGCAGCAGTCATTCACAAGCAGGTGAGCGACGCAGCAGCAGCAGCAGCAGCAGCAGCAGCAGCAGCAGCAGCGGCAGCAGCAGCAGCAGCAGCAGTCATTCACAAGCAGCAGTCATTCACAAGCAGGTCGTCTGCGCCGACATTGGCGCGTAAGCTGCCCGCGTGAGGTCGTGCGTAAGCGCCCTCGCTTCACTTCAAATGTGGCGTGCCGCGCGGGCGGCTCGCACAAGCCACCGCGTAATTTGGGTCGCTATGCCACCTTTCGCAGGCCCGGCCTTTCATCGTCGCTCGGGTGCCTTCCTTGCGCCCCCGCCTGTCCGAAGCAGCTGCCTGCAGGCTCCGTGTGGAAGTGGGGCTTCGTCACCCACGTGAAGCCGCTGAAGGTCGGCGGCCACGCTCGCCCTCTGCGCCGCCCAGAGGCTCAGATCGGGCGGCGAGAATTGTGCACTAGGATGGCTCCGCATCGCCGACGCATCGCCACTGCGGCTCGATGCGGAGCCCGATCTGCTTCACGTCGACGTCGCCGATGCATTGCCCACGGTGACGATGTGACGATGTGACGATGCATCGCTGGTGCATCGCCGATGCATCGGCGATGCGGCGCGGCGCCTCCGTCGCCGATCCGAGAGATCCGCGCGGAGATCCGAAAGTTCATGCTTATGCAGTTCTGTCTTCCTCTGCTCTCGTGTAGAACTCGGCGGCGCGCCCAGGGGGGAAGTGACAAGGAGAAGGCCTTCTCAGAAGGCTCGGAAGTCCCCCGGCCTTCTGAGAAGTTTCCTAGGCCTTCCCTGAAGACAAACAACTTCTCAGAAGGCCCGTGGCCTTCTGAGAAGTCCCGCCGCCTTTGAGAAGGCCTTCTCCTTGTGAATTTCACCCCTCGCTCGCTGCCGAAGAACGCCCATCGGCGCGCGGACGGGCCTCTTGCTCAAGGGCCTCGTGGCGGCCACGTCCACGACACGGGGCCAGCCCCCCCCCGGAGGGGTCCGTAGCCATTTTGGCTCAAGTTCGAAACCTTGCCGCGAGGCTTCGAGCTTGTCCGCAGCCGTGCGGCAGGCTCGGACGGTTCTGGCGCGTGTGCCGTCCACTGAGCTGCACGGGGCGCGCCATGGGATATCTCGTCTGTCTCGTCTGTCGCGATGCTGGCAAGACTTCGTGGATCCCCGACACCAACCCCCGCCAGAAGTGTAACTTCTGCAGTACCCCTTTTCCTGGCCGCTCCAGAGGACAGGTCCCAGGAAAACATGGTCGCAAAGGCGACAAAGACGGCAAAGGCAGGAGCAAAGGCAGTGGCAGTGATCGTGTCTTGTCTCCTCCCCGTGCTCGTTTCCATGATCGTCATGATGTTGACGGTACTGCCACTCCCCCAGTTCGGTCTTTGGATGAACGTCATCAGGCTCCATTGGATGAGGAAGTGCAGGATAGATTCGGATATGACTCTGGCGACGACGGTATTGGCAGCGATCGTGGTTTTTGGGATGGCTATGTCGACGACGACGTTGATGGCGGCTGTGTCGACACCAATGGCAATGAGCTCTCGGTTGCGCAGATTGATCAGATTATCAAGGCCCTTTTGGGCCAGCTGGACTCCCTCCGCCTGCTTCCGCCGACCAGGTACGTTCGTGATCAGGTCTTGGGTCTCCAGGATGAGTTGCAGCATCTCCGAGCACGAAAGTCCGACTTGCTTACCGTTCCCCAGAAGCGTTCGTTCTACAAGCAGCGTCATCACTGGGCCAGTAAGAAGTTTGACAAGATCTCTAGCCAGATCCGTGAGCTCGATCGTAAGATCCTGGACCTTCAGAGCGAAAGGGGCGCCCTCTGCTCTCGTCAGGAGCGGGTCGCCCAGGATATGGCTATGTGGCAGTCTAAGTTGCAGGATCTCCCTTCGAGCGAGCCAGTCCCTGAGGGTTTCACGCCCCCAGATCTCTCAGCTGTGGCGGATGTCTTCGCAGCTTCCCAGGCAGTGCAGAGAGACGAGAAGCTTGCCCAGGCGTTGCGGGACCTCCAGGGTATCGTTATGTCTGGCTATGCTCCTGTTGGTGTTGCCAGTGAACATCGGTCCCAGTCTGAGGGGCCCAGGATGTCTGTCGACCAGCAAGGTTCCCCAGCACGTGTTGCCAGGGCTCCTCCCCTTTCCTCTTCCTCATTGCCGCCTGCGCCGAAACGTCCTGCTCATGCCCCTGATGTCGCAGTTGATCAGTCGGGGCAGTCAGGGAGATTTTCGCCGTCGGCTGCCGCCACCTCTGGCCCCGCCGGCACTCCGGCAGTGGTGGGGGGCTCCAATCCCAAGGGCCCGTCTGACCTTTAGCACATCGGAAACCCCGCCCGACAAGTCAGCCTTCGGTCAGAAGCCGCGTCGGGGCTGGGTCATCGTTACTGTGAACGTTACCTCCTGGTCCAATGCCGATATTTTCCTAGGGGGCTTATTCTGATCGGTTTGATGCTGTCGGTTTTCAAGAACTCTGTCGTGCTGAAGAGGCTATCGAGTTCGCAGTTAACCGTGCTCACAAGCATGGGTTCCATGCGCACCTCCACCCCTCAGTTAGTACTCAGAAAGGTGGATTGAGTTCAGGAGTGGGCCTTGTCTCGAAGTATGCCAGGTCCTTCTCTGAGGTTGTATTGGGTCCGATTGTTGTCACGCCCCCCCCCCCCCCAGAGAGATTCATCCTGAAGCTATGGCATGGGGTCGTGGATTCAGGTATCCCCCGGGCCAATGTCTATTTGCACACGGGGGAAGGCGCCGAGGATCGCAATGCCCAGCTACTGATGCAGGTGGCAGCAGTCATGAAGACTATATCCACCCCCTTTGTTATATCAGGGGACTGGAACATGTCCCCCAAGGACTTGCAGAATACGGACTGCTTAACGCTCATAGGTGGGGTCATTGTCGCGCCAGATCGCCATGCCTATGAGTCCGCGGGTGCCCAGTCGTTGATTGACTACTTTGTGGTTCACCCCTTGCTCTCGGCAGCAGTTAAGTGTGAGGTCTGGGAGACCCCCCTGATCCCCAAGCATCAGCCTGTCGCTCTCGCCCTTCGTGGAAATCTTCACTCTGATTTGGTATCGGTTTTTCGGCGTCCGCCGCGCATCCCTGTTATTCGGCCAGTGGGGTGTTCAAATTGTCCGCCTTCCTGGGATGCCTTTCCTGATCCTGACGCAGTCGACGCTGTGGAAGATTCGGAGCGTCTTACCTCTTCTTGGCTGAAGACGTCTGCCCAGGAGTTGCTTGCCCTTTTCCAGTTGCCAGATCCGCAGGATTACGCCAGGTGGGGTGGGCCTCCCTCGATTATCCAGATTTCGGTTTCCAGACTGTTTCCTGGAGGTGTGCTTTCGTCGCATGAAGGAAGGCTCTGGAGGTATCTCTCTAACCGTCTTGGCACTCTTCTATATCTTGCTGACAAGCAGTTGTGGCCCGCTTATCGGAGAGCCTGTGAAGCCCTGCGCCGATATCGTCTTTCGCAGCGTGATGGTGGTCCTCCCCCCGATTGGTCATGGTGGAGGTATTATGCCAATAGGCTTGGTACCCTCGATCTTGGTTCCATAGATTGGTTGCGGGGCGTTTTGGCTGAGTCCGCATCTGCTCTGGAACGTGCAGCATCTGCACAGAGATGCCAATCCTGGACATCATGGGCCATCCGATCTGTCCAGGAAGGGGGTTCTGCTGCGCACCGTTTCGTCAAGGGATCTATGGATTGGGCTTCCTTTGACAAGACCACCCCGGACCCAGATGCCCCAGTCGGTGCGCCGCAGCATCATCTTAAGGCGCGAGAAGGAGTTTGGCATGCTATCTGGGAGCCCATGCAGGGGCGCCCTGATGATCCTTGCCTGGCCCTGGCTTTCCCGCCGTTTCCGCCCGGCTGCCTTGCGTCCTTGCCCCGCCCGTCCTTGGACAAGTACAGGCAGATGTGTCGCAGGTACAAAGCTCGTACGTCGGTGGGATTGGACTCTATGCATCCACGTCACCATGCGCTGCTTTCCGACTCGTGTCTTCTTGCGTTGTTTGGTATTTGGCGTGCTGTCTTGCGATTGGGTAGATTTCCTCCCATTCTCGCTGTGTTCATCATGAATTTGATCCCGAAGGCTGATGGTGGCGAGCGTACGGTTGCCCTGTTCACGACGTGTGTGCGCACGTTCTCTCGGTTCTTCAGGCACGCGTATGGTGCTATGTGGGCGCGATTGCATCTTCGTCCGTACGTGTACGGTGTGCGCGGTCATTCCTGCCAAGCATGTGTGTGGCGCATGGGCGTGCTCACGGAGTTAGCATCTGCCAAAGGTTTGTCTGCGTTTGCACTCTCGCTCGACATCCAGAAGGCTTTTGAACAGGTTCGCCACAAACTTCTCATAAGACGTGCTAGCGAGTTTGGGTGTCATCCAGCAATCTTGAGGGGTTTCCTGACTCTGCATCGCCCCCCACGTGTTGTCACGTTGCGGCGAATTGTTGGGGAGCGGGTCAGAGCTAGCAAGACTATTGTAGCAGGTTGCTCTTTTGCCGATCTTTTTATGCGTATTTTATTGATGCCCGAGCTGGATTCGTTTCGTCAGTCGTATCCAAATATGCACCTTGGCCTCGTCGCCGACGACGCCCAGGTCCTGGGGATAGGCTCGGAGAGGGAGTTGCTCAAAATCGGCCCCGATGCGTCGCACCTTTTGATGGGCAAGCTTACTTTCTCGGCATGTTTACCGCTCTCCGAGAAGAATATCGCGCTCTTGGCTACTGACCCCCAGTTGGCTCAGAGCATTGCAGCTGGAACTCCACGTCTAGCTGGTGCAATCAAGTTCTCGTGTCGAAACCTCGGGATTGACTATCAGTTACGTCAGGGGCGTCGTTCTCGTCCTGTTCTTACTGGTCGATTGAAAAAGGCCAGGTTTAAGGCCCGACGCTTATTGAAGATAAGGAAGGCTGGTGCAAAGGTTGCAGGTATTGTAAACACTAACTTGCGGCCCACTGTCATGCACGGCATTGACGTCGTCGGTCTATCTACTCACCAGATTCGTCAGGTCCGTGCTATATACCACGCCGGTCTCGGCACAGGTAAGCGTAGGTCTGTCACGATGGATTTGGCGTTGCATGGTGTTACCGATCCTGCTATCGATGCACATGCTGAGGTTATTCGTCTCTGGACTGTCTCTAGATGGGACTCTCTTCTTCCTGTCGGAATGATAGACCAAGTTTTCCAGTTTGCCTACGCCAAGGTGACGCCAGATACCCCGTGGACTGAATTGCAGGGCCCAGGACAGATCTTGGTTGCCACTATGCGTAGAATTGGGTGGTCTGCGGTTTCGCCCACAATATGGCGAACTTCTCTTGGAACCGATGTTGATATTTCGTCTACTTCCCCTCGTGAGGTGGTGGCACTAGTGATTCGCGACGCGTCTGTCTGGTCCTGGAAACAGGCCTCTGAGCGTCACCCATCCTTCCGTCACCTGTCTGGACCCCCTTTCCTCCCCCCTCTTCTTTCCCTTTTGTCTAAGAAGACTGAAGGATGGGGTGTCCTCCAGCAACGTGCTTTGAGGACTTTTATATCTGGGGGCATATACTTTAAACCTATGTGCCCCATTTGCCAGGTCGTCCCTTCTGACCCCGTGTTTCACACCCTGTATGAGTGTGATGGGCTTGTGGAGTTTCGTCGCTGGTTCGGCCCGACTCCAGCCCTCACCCGTTGCATAGAGCAGTGCCGCGAGAACCCTGTCTGGACCACTGCCATGGTTCCCGACCCGCGCTATTGCTCCCTGCTGGCACCACCTTTCCCAGACCCTGTCTGGGAAGGGGCCGCAGACGGCCCCTTTTTCTCGTCGCCTGCGTGCGGAGACGGCTCGGGAAAGCATGGTCCCTCGCCGCTCACTCTCCGTTGTGGATGGGGTGTTTGCTCATTTGCTCCGCGTAGTCGAAATGTTTTTGGTGAGCCCGTCGCCAATGATCGGCTTCGGCTTAGTGCTGGTGCCTATGGCGTATATCCATTTCTCACCCAGGATGTTTCAGGGGCTGAGCTTTGCGCGTTTTTGTTTTATCTAACCCATGCTGCCCCCCCCGACTGCTATGAGTTTGTCACTGATGCCCAGTATGTCGTCGACGGTTGGGCAATGGGGTATGAAGCTACCACGCACGGATGGGCCACTCACGCATCCTTGTGGGTCCGTGTCCACCGTGCGGCTTCAGATATCGGGTATCACCGAATTAAGGTCACCAAGGTTCGTGGCCACTCTTCCTCTGTGGGTAATAAGCAAGCCGACAGACTTGCTAACCTAGGTGCAGACCTACACACTCTGGACACGGTACTGCATGACCGTATCAAGCGCTCTGGTGTGCTGGTGCGCAATCTTGGTGTGTATATCGGTCACTGTATAGCATGGATGTTTAAGAATGTGCCCAAAAAGGTATGGGCGGCGGACTCTGATGAGACCCCTGTCCCCACGGCCCCATCCCTAGTCCTCTCTGGTGCCTCCTCTGGGGCCCTGCATGAGCACTTCTGGGACCCCTCAGCGGGTCGTTTTCGTTGTGTGAATTGTTAGGCTAGTTCAGTCTCCAAGAGCTACTTATTGCGTTCGCAGTGCTCTTCTCCCACTGGCGGTGGGCACGTGCTCAGGCGGCTAAATAATACCACAGTTTGTCGACGATGTGGCCGCTTCTCGTGTAAGAAGGCAGTTGATTTAACTAAATCATGCACTGGGCCTCCTGGGGCCTCTGGCACCATCTCACGGCTTCGACGCATGTGTGATGGTCGTGACCCCCGCACTGATCAACCAGTCGGTGAGGTCACTGCGGTTGACAATGTCAACGTTATATATGCCTTTCCTGCCCCTCACCATGTCTTTAATTTTCAGGCACTGTTTGATCCTGCATGGCTTTTAGAGGCTCCGTAGATTTCTCGGGGTATACTTCGGAGGTGGGGTGGATGTATCCTGGGATATCTGGTCTGTCTCGTCTGTCTGATGCTGGCAGGACTACTCGGATCCCCGACACCAGCCGCCAGAAGTATTGTTCTGCAGTACTCCCTTTCCTGGTCGCTACAGAGGACAGCTTCCAGGAAGTAGGGTAGGCTTGGGATAAGTGGGTACAGAGGCGCTGAGAGGCAGGCACCCGTTCCGCCTGCGCCCACTTATCCCGTCTGTGCTTTTGTCATTCCCCCCTGGCCAGGCTCGCAAAGAGAGAAGACTCTTGCCCGCCCGCCGCGCGGGGATTTCTGTACACGCCTCTCTGTCTGTGCTTTCTCTCTGACAGTCGGACAGTCGGGCAGTCGAAATGTCTTATGGCTACGCGCCAGGGACTAGTAGGCTGAGGATGAGTGGGTACAGAGGCGCTGAGAAGCAGGCACCCGTTCCGCCTGCGCCCACTCATCCTGCTTGCGCGCTGCCTTTGTCTTTTCCCCCGCCCAGGCTCGCAAAAAGAAGCAAAAGGAATTCTCTTCGCTGCCTGCGGGGGGCGGCATGCTTTCACGCCTTTCTAGCTATGCTCTCTGAAGTGTCTGTGCCGATTCGTCAGGGTTCGTAGGCTAGGCTGAGGATGAGTGGGCGCAGAGGCGCTGAGAAGCAGGCGCCCGCACCGCCTGCGCCCACTCATCCTTCATGTGCTCCTTTTGTCCCCCCCCAGCCCAGGCTCGCGAAGAAGGGAAGGGCTCTCCGCCGCCGTGCTGTGTCTGTCTTGTTGTATAATGCTGCTGCCTGGCCAGAGGTTGAGGCTGGAAGCCCAGGAGCCAGGGCGCGGGCTTCAAATTGTCTCGCCAGTCTTGCCAGCATCGCGTGTTTCGGGCCCTCGATTTTTCGTTGTCCCTGTGTGCTCGGGTCGGTCCCTCGCTCGGGTCTGTTCGGGTCCTGGTCCGTCCCTCGCTTCTTTCGGCCCTCCTTCGGGCCCCTCGCTCGTCGTTTCGGCGCCACGGGCAGGAGTGTTCGGCAGACGATCACCCGCGCGCAAATCAAAACCCCCCCGGAGGGGCAGGGTGCCGCCCGGCGGCCTCGCGGCGTGGGCGGGCTGGGCGCCGCGTGGCCGCCCAGTGCCTGGGCGGAGTGCCAGGCCGAGGGCCGTGCGAGAGGAGCAACGTGCACCTCCTCCTCCTGCTCCTGCTCCTGCTCCTCCTCCTGCTCCTCCTCCTCCTCCTCCATTCCTTTTCCTCGTGCATAATTTCGCCCTGTCGCAGCCCGAGGCCAGCTTTTAGGGCGGGCCAGGCGTTTCGCCCGAGACATCCTCACCATTTCTGACCCTGAAACTTAACCATTGGCAACAGTTTCGTAGATTGAGGGTGTGTCGTTTTCAAAATGTGGCTCGCGCCTTACCAGGAGCTTCACATATTGAGGGCGGGCCGTTTTCAAAATGTGGCTCTCGCCTTAGCGCCGCGCGCATTCGCTTTAAACATGTGGAAGGTCTCCACGGATTGAGGGCGGTTCCTTTTCAAAATGTCGCCTTCGCCTCAGCGCCGCGCACATTCCTTCTCAACTTGTGCAAAAGCTTCGCCGATTCCCATGGTCAGCGTACCAGAACCAGTGCTTTGGAAGGATTCAGGATTAGGGGGGTGCATCAGTTACGTTGTTTCGCGGTGACTCAGTCCTAGACAGGGCGGTCTGGTACGATTCAGAATCGTCCAGACGCAACAGTCAGGTTGATCCGCGGCGATGGAGTCCCGAGAACAATGTTTTGACATGCGTCAGGGTCTTCAAACGGTTGTCTCCCAACGAGGCAGTTCCTTCAGTGGAAATGAACACTCGTAGAGGCCTGCTCGTCCTCCTCCTCCTCGTCCCCTCCCCCTCTTCCTCTGGGATCCGTAGCCATTTTGGCACAGGGGGCCTGCTCCTTGACTTCCCGACGTCGGACCAAGCCTCACAAGCGAGGAGCATCCTACCTCCCTGGGGCGCTTTGGCTTGGCACACATAGGTTCGGGGCCATATCCAGTCGCACGCGCCATGGCCCATCTTTCTGCGAACAATTAGAACATGCTCGCATATCTCAAGAAGGTGATGGAGTCTACCATGCAGTCGCTCCAGCAGAGCATCACGGATGTTCTGGACGAGAGGCTCGGTTACATGAGCAAGGAGTTCGCCGCTGCCCAGGATGAGACCAACGCCAAACTAGGTGAGCCTCATGTGGGGATGGAGGCCCAGCGTGATGAACTCGACAAGCAGGCCACCACAATTCGATTGCTTCAGGAGCAAGCAGATGTCGCGCGGGAGTCATCCACGTGTACAGGTTCAGCGAGATCAGGCTCAGCTAGCTTCACGGGCTCGTCACGCCGTGGGGCCACATGTAGTCGCAAGTTCAGGCGTGTGGGCACAGTTGAAGAATCCGCGGGTAAGAAGACAGCGTTCATCGGTGGTTTTTCTAGACCCCTCCCCGCCAAGTTCCGAGAGAAGCACTTCGGATACATGAAAGGGGTGTACCCACGGTACCTCACCGATCAGGTCACGGGTGCGTTCCATCGGGTTGGCGTCAATTACAAGATCACGTTCAACAGTGAAACCGTGGCGGCCGACTTCCAGGATCAGTTCAACAGAGCGGGTCACATGTGGACAGACCCGCGCGACCACACTAAGCATCCGCTTCGAGCTCGAGGCGACCTACCAATTTATGTTAGAACCAGGCGCCGCGCATTCTCTGTCATTTACACGGAGGTCAAGGATTTGCTGGCTTCCCCGCCGAGATGGAACCCCACGTTCAGGCTTGTAGTGAATGGATACAAAGGAGTATTGCAGGTCAGCAGCGATGACGCCCTGTGGGAATTAGTTCCCAACCCTCCTGCGTTGGGTTCTCGTTTTGAACAGAGCACTGGTCGCGCGAACCTTCCCCCCCGCCCCTCTCTCTCCCTCTCTCTCTCTCTCTCTCTCTCTCTCTCTCTATCTCTCTCTCTCTCTCCTCTCTCTCTCTCTCTCTATCTCTCTCCCTGCCTCGCCTCGTCGCTGCGTGCCAGCGGGGGGGGGGGGGGGGGGGGGGGGGGAGGGGGGCTGCGATCTATGAAACTGTCGCCACTTTGGAGGCCTGCTGGGGGGGCCCAGCACAGCGGGTGCCCACGGCGGATTCAAATTTGACTTCGCCATCCCTGGGGGGCTGCGATCTGTGAAGCCGTCGCCGCTTTCGAGGCCTGCTGGGGGGAGGGGGCATCACAGTGGGTACCCGCGGCGGATTCCAATTTGACCTCGCCATCCCTGGGGGGCGATTTGTAAAACGTCGCCACTTTGGAGGCCTGCTGGGGGCCCAACACAGTGGCACCCACGGCGGTTCAAATAGGACCTCGCCATCCCTGGAGGCTGCGATCTGTGAAACTGTCGCCACTTTCGAGGCCTGCTGGGGGGCCCAGCACAGTGAGGGCCACGCGCGGATTCAAATTAGACCTCGCCATCCCTGGGGGGCTGCGATCTGTGAAACTGTCGCCACTTTCGAGGCCTGCTGGGGGGCCCAGCACAGTGAGGGCCACGCGCGGATTCAAATTAGACCTCGCCATCCCTGGGAGGGCTGCGATCTGTGAAACTGTCGCCACTTTCGAGGCCTGCTGGGGGGCCCAGCACAGTGGGTACCCGCGGCGGATTCAAATTGGACCTCGCCATCCCTGGGGGGCTGCGATCTGTGAAACTGTCGCCACTTTCGAGGCCTGCTGGGGGGCCAGCACAGTGGGTACCACGGGCGGATTCAAATTAGACCTCGCCATCCCTGGGGGGCTGCGATCTGTGAAACTGTCGCCACTTTCGAGGCCTGCTGGGGGGCCCAGCACAGTGGGTACGCCACGGCGGATTCAAATTAGACCTCGCCATCCCTGGGGGGCTGCGATCTGTGAAACTGTCGCCACTTTCGAGGCCTGCTGGGGGGCCCAGCACAGTGGGCACCCACGGCGGATTCAAATTGGACCTCGCCATCCTTGGGGGGCTGCGATATGTGAAGCTGTCGCCACTTCCGAGGCCTGCAGGGGAGGGGGGGCAGCGCAGTGGGTACCCACGTCGGATTCAAATTTGACCTCGCCATCCCTGGGGGGCTGCGATCTGTGAAACTGTCGCCACTTTCGAGGCCTGCTGGGGGGGCCATCACAGTGGGTACCCGCGACGGATTCAAATTTGACCTGGCCATCACTGGGGGGCTGCGATCTGTGAAGCTGTCGCCACTTTCGAGGCCTGCTGGGGGGCCCAGCACAGTGGGTACGCATCGCGGACTCCAATTAGACATCGCCATCCCTGGGGTGTTGCGATCTGTGAAACTGTCGCCACTTTCGAGGCCTGCTGGGGGGCCCATCACAGTGGGTACACACAGCGGATTCAAATTTGACATCGCCATCCATGGGGGGCTGCGATCTGTGAAACCGTCGCCGCTTTCGAGGCCTGCTGGGGGGGCCCAAACAGTGGGCACCCACGGCGGATTCAAATTGGACCTCGCCATCCCTGGGGGGCTGCGATATGTGAAACCGTCGCCACTTTCGAAGCCTGCGGGGGGGCCAGCACAGTGGGTACCCACGGCGGATTCAAATTTGACGTCGCCACCCCTGGGGGGCTGCGATCTGTGAAACCGTCGCCACTTTCGAGGCCTGCTGGGGGGCCCAGCACAGTGGGTACACCACGGCGGATTCAAATTTGACCTCGCCATCATTGGGGGGCTGCGATCTGTGAAACTGTCGCCACTTTCGAGGGCTGCTGAGGGGCCCAGCACAGTGGGTACTCACCGCGGACTCAAATTAGACTTCGCCATCCCTGGGGGGCTGCGAGCTGTGAAACTGTCGCCGCTTTCGAGGCCTGCGGGGGGGCCAGCGCAGTGGGTAGCCACCGCGGATTCAAATTAGACCTCGCCATCCCTGGGGGGCTGCGATCTGTGAAACTGTCGCCACTTTCGAGGCCTGCTGGGGGGCCCAGCGCAGTGGGCACCCACGGCGGACTCAAATTCGACATCGCCATCCCTGGGGGGCTGCGACCTGTGAAACTGTCGCCGCTTTTGAGGCCTGCTGGGGGGCCCAGCACACTGGGCTTCTCGCGCGTCTTTCTCCTGCTCTTCGTTCCCGACTCCCCATGTCTTCTTCGAGCTTGTAGTTGTCGCCCGTCGTTCTTGTATGGTTCTCCTGCGCATCATGCCATAGGCGCGTGCCCCAAGTATCCTACATACCAAACGACGGATCCTGCAATTTGATCGCCCATGCAAGTTTCGGCCAACTCTTCGTTTCCCAGGGTACAAATGGGTTGGGTACGTCACAGGGTATTTTTTCATAACCATCCTGTGGTGTTGGGTCTTCGTTTTGAAGAGACAGCGCCCGCTCGCGCTCCCGCCCCCCCCCTCCTCCCTCCTCCTTCCTCCCGCCATCATCATCGTCATCATCCTCCATTTCGGCACATCCCTCACACGTTTCGTGGCCCCATAGGGAGCCCCACCGAAGGCCCCAGTGCGGCCGCCCGCATGCGTCCCGCACACCCGATTCGGCACACCCCTCACACGTTTCGCGGCCCCATAGGGAGCCCCGCCGAAGGCCCCAGTGCTGCCGCCCGCATGCGTCCCGCACGCCCAATTCGGTACACTCCTCAGCCGTTTCATGGCTCATAGGGAGCCCCGCCGAAGGCCCCAGTGCTGCCGCCCGCATGCGTCCCGCACACCCAATTCGGCACACCCCTCACACGTTTCGTGGCCCCATAGGGAGCCCCGCCGAAGGCGCCAGTGCTGCCGCCCGCATGCGTCCCGCACACCCAATTCGGCACACCCCTCACATGTTTCGTGGCCCCATAGGGAGCCCCACTGGAGGCCCCAGCGCTGCCGCCCGCATGCGTCCCGCACACCCAATTCGGCACACCCCTCGCACGTTTCATGGCTCCATAGGGAGCCCCACCGAAGGCCCCAGTGCTGCCGCCCGCATGCGTCCCGCACACCCAATTCGGCACACCCCTCACACGTTTCGTGGCCCCATAGGGAGCCCCACCGAAGGCCCCAGTGCTGCCGCCCGCATGCGTCCCGCACGCCCAATTCGGCACACCCCTCACACGTTTCGTGGGCCCATAGGGAGCCCCGCCGAAGGCCCCAGTGCTGCCGCCCGCATGCGTCCCGCACGCCCAATTCGGCACACCCCTCACACGTTTCGTGGCCCCATAGGGAGCCCCACAGAAGGCCCCAGTGCTGCCGCCCGCATGCGTCCCGCACGCCCAATTCGGCACGCCCCTCACACGTTTCGTGGCCCCATAGGGGGCCCCACCGAAGGCGCCAGTTTTGCCGCCCGCATGCGTCGCGCGCACCCAATTCGGCACACCCCTCACACGTCTCGTGGCCCCATAGGGAGCTCCACCGAAGGCCCCAGTGGCGGCGCTCGCATGCGCATGCGTCCCGCGCACCCATTTCGGCACACCCCTGACAGGTTTCGTGGCCCCATCATCCACCGGAGGCCCCATTGGCGGCGCTCACATGCGCCGCCCACACCCACCCAACTCGGCACACCCCTCACGCGCTTCGTGGCCCCATAGGGAGCTCCACCGAAGGCCCCAGCGGCCGCGCTCACACGCGTCCCCGCCACTCATCCCGTCACGCCCCTCACAACAACAGGCTTCGTGGCCCCATAGGGAGCTCCACCGAAGGCCCCAGTGGCACCGCCCGCATGCGTCACCTCCCGCGCCCAATTCGGCACACCCCTCACACGTTTCGTGGCTCCATAGGGAGCTTCACCGAAGGCCCAGTGGCGGCGCTCACATGCGTCCCCGCCACACATCCCAGTACACCCCTCACGCGCTTCGTGGCCCCATAGGGAGCTCCACCGAAGGCCCCAGTAGCGGCGCTTACATTGCGTCTCCGCCCCCCCCACGCCCCCCCCCCCCCCCCCCCCCCCCCCCCCCCCCCCACCCCCCCCCCCCACCCGCCCCCAGCAGCATCGTGTTTCGGGGACCCATGGGGGGTTCATTGGAGGCCCCAGTGGCGGCCCTCACATGCGTTTCCGCCACCCATGTTGGCACGCCCCGCGCGTGTTTCATGTCCCCATAGGGGGCTTCGCCGAATGCCCCAGTGGCACCCATCTCGGCACACCCCTCACACGTTCCGTAGTCCTATGGGGAGTTCCATTGAAGATGAAACCCGCAGCTGCGGTACTGACAACTGCATATGGTTGGGTTCTTCGCCAGGCTAATTCTCATTTTTTGTTTGCGAAGCCTGCTGGGCTCAAATATGGGCATGAAGTATTCGCGTTCGAGCCCAAGCAGACGGAGCTCAGCCAGTGGATCAGCATCTCAGAACATATTCAGACTGTGATCAGTCAGGCAGAAGCTGAAGCGCGCAAACTTGCAGATGGAGATGATTTCTAATGCACCACCACACGGGGGCGCCCGAAGGAAATATCACCAGTTTCACAGGGCAGGAGACATCGCTCAAGTTCTGGCTCCTTCTGCTCCCTCCGCCTCTTCATCTTCGGCAGCTTCTGGGAGTTCGAGCGCTGCGTCGGGTGGAGGGCCCTCGTCAGGCGGCGGCTCCAGCGGTTCGTCCTCTTCCTCTTCTGGGTCTACCTCGATCGGTGAGCGCGCTCTGTTTTTTTCCTCGCACTCGAGTGGGATTTATGTCTTGGAACTGTCGTGCGCTTTTTGGAGCATTAGAAGAGGGTCATAAGACGCAGGCGTGCACAGATGCTTGTGCCAAAGGGCTTCTTGCTAAGTGTGATGTATGCGCGTTTCAGGGGACTCACGGGTGTCCAGGTGATCTTGGAACTCTTCGGAAGGAGGTCAAATCTCACTCGCACTTTGGTTCATTCTGCTCTGCCGTG